GGGGGCACTTCTTTTGCAGTAGAAAAATGTTACTGACCTTCTCACTCTGATTCCGATTGTCCTGGTCTCCTTATCCCAAGCAGGATGCTCTAAGTTGAATGAATGAGGAGCCATAACCTCCAAGGAAGAGTCACAAGAGTCACATTGGCGTAGCACAAACACAGAGGTTGACGACACCAACGCTTTCACGAGGTCAGAGTTGTCTCAAAGTACTTTCAGCGAAAAACTGACTTCATTGTTGTAGGGAACAAGTGGCCGGCCATCACACGGGATAAAATTTACTATTATCAATCAAAATAAAGTACACTTCTCTTATTTACACTCGAAGGTTAACAGTCTAGCCAACTGAGGCGGTAGCAGTACTGGCGTCTCTAGTCTCGCGCTCTCCCAAGAAGATAGGGAATATTTATGCCGGTATATAGCACCACTGTCAGCCTGCGAAATTTTTGTTTTCATTGAAAGAAAACAGACAAGTGATTTATTTTGATTCATTGTGGGTCAATGGGCAAATCTATAGTGTACTCTGACTGTCATATTTTTCGATACTATGCCAAGTTTTTAAAGAAACTATTTTTAGAGGACCCAACCCATGGCCTGTTTGGACTGGACTACCACCATCCTGAGTACTCTACGTTATTTTGCTCAGAGAGGTTATGAGTTCCCCATTCATTCTGCACGGAGACGTCTAGTTTCGTCTAAACTGAAATGGACAAGGTGAGTAGTTGTATCTTCTTGGATCGGCCCAAGACTGCATTTGTGACCTGAAGGTGAGTGTGCTCTCATCGAATCACAGCTCAGTATGATATGTTCCTGGCCAATCCTCCTGCTCTTCTTCGTTTGAGTGAAATCCTCAATGGCCTTTCTCTATGTGGTCTTACTTTTCAAAATTTTAGGCTAGTTTTGTGATTGAATGAAAGGCAACAATTTATTTATCATTCTATTTCTTGTAATATATTCCTATGAATATGGTTGAAAATAAGTTTCTCTGTGGGTGAAATTTAGAACTGACGGAAAGACCTACTTTTAGTCCAAAGCTTTAAAATAACGGTGACCCCATTGTTCTCCGGCTATAACACTTCCACTCCATATTGTTGAAAATCCTCTTGTGATTTGTTAACTGTGTTTGTGCAAAGTGAATGGCTACCGCCCACATCTTTTCAGCAAAAAAATATTTTAACAATGTTCAAAAACTGTGAGAAATGCTGACAAATGGGAAACTATTGGTTTTAAAGTGACGTATGAAGTGGGTTGCAATGGATTTAGTACGTTTCTAGACTAGACACGTCAAAAGTAAGGAAAGACAACTCTCTCAATCACCCGCACAAGGGCGGACATCTCTTTCGTTCGAGGTGTGCTGACGGCCGGCGGCGGGTGGTTTGCATCGCACAACACCCCAGTCGCGATGGTTGCGTGCGAGTCGTGGGATCGCAGACTGCGTATATCCGCCCGGTATCCGCCCCGGACGCTAGCGGCTAGCGTGCGACTAGGGTGACTTCGTGACCAGAGTGTTGGCGGGGAATCACGCATAGAGCTGTTAACCAAGTTCCACGCGGTCGCGCATTGTATCGTAAAATCTGATCAGTATGAAAAACAATCAGTTCCGCCAGCCGCGCCAGCTCTGCTAAATAACTCACACTTTCCTGTTATTTCCGGTTATTCTTCGATTCACCCTGAATCCTGCCACGGAGCGGTTAAAATTTGGAGTGAAATGATCGACCCCTCTCTGGTCCGATCATGTGTGTCGATGGCGTTCGGTTACGGTGACCAGACTACTCGTAATTATGTCTCGGTGGCGGCAGCGTGTGATAGTGTCAGGAGCTGGTGATGTATGGTCGTCACCTGCCTGCGACCGTTAAAGGCGCCTGCAACCAGGCTCGTAGAGATTATTCGCCAAACTATGACAAGGCTTCACAAACTACTTATCGCTACAAATTTTTTTGTAAAAGTTGTTTTTCTGCCAATACTTAGTAGGCCAATTTCAAAAACTGAAATAAATTATTATTGAGTGCGCTTTTCAACCCTGCTCGTGACAGGACGGACGCGGAGCAGGAGACCCCTTTCGGATTCCCACACTGCGCTAGGCGACGCACACATGTCCGGCCGTGGTCAGCGTCACCTGTGCCGCTATTTATTAGGTGTGAATAACTAAGTGACGACGTTCTGCTAATTAGAACCCACCCTTTTCGAGTAGCCCCGCTTTTTCGACCGGCTGTGCGCCGCTCTGCGTCGCCGGTGCGCCGTACCGGTACAGTCGTGGTGCAATATGAGTTCGTTAAAACTGTTGATCACCGCTAGTGGTCACTTTGACACGAAATTTCAACCTGACGTGTCTCATAATTAGCTCTGCTCTCTCGGTCGGCGCATACTCTGCTCCGCTGGTCAAAGTTCACATGGGCATCACGGTTCGGTACCTTCTCGTACAAAGTACGTTTTAGAACACTTTATTTTTCTTTTAGCACTTTACTACGGGGTGTTACATGGGCCAAAAGAGGCCTCGTGGTTAGTCAAGTCAAGTTAAAAATTGCCGCAACATTTCATATTTTTCGGGGGGTACGAGGAGTTACTACGGGCACCGTCCCATGGTGTTCATGTGCTTTTTAGCAGTTGATATTTTCTTTCTCGTAGACTGCGGGATGGGCCGTTTGCTTTTCGACTGCGGCCTTCCCTCCCCGTCTGGCGGACTACTTGCTCTGCTTGATCTCCGTCGGGGGAGGAGGAGAAGGAGGAGGAGAGAGGAGGGGTGGGTGGGGGTGGAGCAGCGGCCTGCTTGCTGCACGCATTGCGTGACGGAAGGCGCACTTGAGGTGCGGCCTGGCACCCCTTCACCACCGCCGGGCCGGTGGAGTGGGGG